GATTTTGGAGTGGGAGGATCGGATCAGAGTGCTCAAGAAGGCTTCTGGATGCGAATTTGGAAGCTTGCTGTCCCCAACAAAATTAAGATGCTGCTTTTGCGGGCATGTACTGAAATTCTACCAACTGCAGTCAATTTATTTAAGAAAAGGGTGCTTCCGTCTCATGTGTGCTCAAGGTGTGGGAACTATCCTGAAGATGCTTTCCACGCTTTGTGGTCGTGTAAAATGAGTCAAAAGCTATGGAAGTGTACCCATTTCATCCGGCGAATTAATATGGCGGGGGGCACCTTCGCTGATGCTTTTGAGGCTGTGGCTTCAATGCTGTCGAAAGCTGACTTAGAGCGCTTTGCTTGTTGTGCGTGGAGTGCGTGGAAACTACGTAATGATTCTTTGCATGGGAAACAGATTACACGGGTGGATAATATGGTGGAAAACACGATGGAAATGCTGGAAGTGTTTAAATCTTGTGAGGAGCGGTCCAAGCTCCCCCTCGTCTCTCCGCAGGCCCATTGGTTGAAACCACGGGTCAATACTCTTCTCCTTAACTGTGATGGGGCTGTGGGACGTGAGCAAGGTGATCGGGGTCTGGGGGGAGTTTGTCGTGACCACGCCGGAAACTTTATCTGTGGTTTCGCATCGTTTGGTCCACCTGGTTTGGATGTTTTGGGCACGGAGTTGGTGGCTGTCCGGGAAGGGTTATTGATGATGGGATACATGGGTTTTACTCGGTTTACCATTGGTCTTGATTCTCAAGAAGCTGTTTCTATGCTTAAAGATGGTTTGGATTGGTGGAGTAATATTGGTAATGTGGTGGAGGATGTTCGTCGGTTAATGGTTGATCGAGAGGTGGCTGGAGTGTTCTACCAACACCGGCAGGGTAATGGGGTGGCACATAGTCTAGCTCAGCATGGGTTGAGAGTGAGATCTCGCCTTTTTTGGAAAGACCGTGCTCCTCCATGGTTAAGCATTCTTTTAGATAAGGATATAGCTATGGTGTAATTCATTGTTTGTTTTTGAGATGCGGTGGTACTCTTTTTCCTTGACCGGATTTTCCCCCATTGGGGGTTTTGGATGGCAAGGTTTTAATGAGGCCACACTAACGCTCTCCGTTCATTTGTAAACGTTATCATTGGTTGGTGCTACGGTTGAATGAATCTTTCTATTTGATAAAAAAAAAAAAAAAAAAAAAAGAAAGATTTAAAGTGACCAAAAATTATAAACCTCTCTAGCAGCTTCCATATGTTTTAGGAAAGGACGTGACCCCCCTGTATGATCAAACTCTTTCTTTTTTTTGTTCTCAGCATTGGTCTTGCAGCGTTTCTGTTTTGATTAAATACATGAATTGTTTTTTTTTTTTCTTTTTCTATTTGATACTTAGAATAAGTTCCCAATCAAAAACTGAAAACTGCAGATGTTATGACACATTAGATACCTGATATTGCTCATTTGTGTACAATGTATCAACCAAATAATGCCACTCTTCTAGAGTCCTTCGAGTACCAAAGATCTTTTCAGGGGGAGGTGTTTCTCGTGCAAGATCAGGGTCAGAAGCATATTGCTTATAGTGTCTGTGGAACTTTGCTTTCCATTCTTTATAAGTTGAGTGCATATGGTCAGTAATAAATTTCCATATATCCGGATCCGTTAAGTCCACATCAAACATGAACTAATATCAATTAACCATAAACAAAACAAGTATTAGTTATAATTTTCAATGCAAATAGAAACAATGAAGGACAAATTTTTCAGTTCCCACTAGAATACAATGAAGAATTGAAATAAAAAGAGAGCTAAATGAACAAAATTAAATTATAATCAATGAAGAATTAGATAAGATTACTTGCAATCCCAATGCCATATCTTTCTTCATCTCCAAGCTCACTTTTTTCATCCCTAAAACATTCAATGGAGCTTTATTGCGAGTGATTAACCCAATCTCAGAGACGAACAGTTTTTGAGCCTCAATAGTCGCCACCAATTTCTGGGATGGATCCATCCGTATTGGAATCAAACCCTTCCTCTTTTTCACAACATCACAAGTGCCAGCCCCCACAGCTCGGCCACAAGTGTTCTTCCTCTGTGAAGAAGTTTGAGTATGCGTTCCCTCATTTGGAAGACAAAAATTCAAAAAATTAATAACTAGAGTGCACAAAATAAAGGTATAACAATTACGGGCACAAAATATGTTATCAGTTACCCTGTTGGCGAGAACCCCCTCCTGAGGCTGATGAAGTACCTTGTTGTGGCTGAGTTGATTGTTGTTGTGGCAGCTGACATGGTTGCTCAAGTGGCTGTGGTGGTAGTAGAGTTGAAGTTTCCTTCTTCTTATTGTTATTGTTGCTTAAGGTAGCAGCTCTCGTAAGTGTCATTCTACACTTACAAACACATAAACAAAGAGAGAATACAACAATATACTACTAGATCATTCCTTGAAAAAAATAAAAATAAATGATTGAACATCATACTTCAGCTGTAATGATATCGATTCTCATCACAAACGTCCTTTAGATAAAGGAATTATTCATCAAAAAATGATTGAACATCATACTTTATCAATAGGAAAGAAAAATAGCACGCACACGCATTTCATTTACATGGGGAGGACATATGCAAACCTTATCCGAAGATATTTCTTCAATATACAAACCTTACAGACCTTACCCCTTAAAACAGATTGAGGAAAACATATAGTAACTTGAAGATAATTAAGAAATATGTAGTGCCTATACAAAAGACAACCTAACACTTCAATCCAAATCACTATAATCGTCACTGTGAACACTGCCCTCGTCATCACCCGAAGGTATTTCTTCAATATCATCATCATCAATAAAATCTTCATCCTTCATATCATTACATGGAGTCTCATTCTTCTCATCCACATGTTGGCTTGCAACTTCCATAAATGACTCAATACCAGCACGATATTGATTACTCAACCTGTTTTTATTGTGTATCCAATCCCTGTTCATATCTAACGCACCTTGTCTCCATCTTCTTATACCTCCTATAATGGGCCTTATCCAATTCAATCGGTGATGACTTGAAGCAGTTCCAAAATTTCATAACATGATTAGATCGAGCACTTATATAGATACAAGCAAATAACTCTTTCACAGAATACAAGCTAATAACTCTTTCACATGAAAATTATAAAAAGAGAGATTCCACATTAATTATGCTTTTCAAGGGTAAGTATCATGGTAACAATATTTTTTTTTACAATTCTTTCAACATAATTTTGCATAATTTAGTTGAACCCATGAAACCAGTAAAAAAAAAAGAAGGCGGGTGCAAGATTTGTAGCTATTCATACCACTAAAGCAAATATAGCCTCTTAAGCATGATCTAGCAATAAAAATAAATAAAAAATTCAGTTAGACACAGTAAACCCACAACACAAGTCAGAAAAAAAAAAAACAAAAAAAAGGCAGATGCCATATTTTTAGCTATCCATACCTCTTAAGCAAATATAGCCTCTTAAGTAAGTAATTCAAACACCCTGCTGCTAAAAAGAAAAAGAAAAAAACAAATCTGTTAGACACTATATTTTTGGAGGGCTTGAGTCCAAATTAGTCTTCAAACTCAAAATAGTATATGCCTTCACCTCTAAGTTTCACCACTCATCATTAAACAAAAACATTATTTTTCTGAGTTAACTCAAAACAGTAACATAATAAGACATCACAGGAAGCACCAAATATCCAAGATAAAAGTCTCAACATAAAACCAAATGGTTCAAAGTAATATTGTAATCAACACATCCACTTTATACAGTTATAACATGTACAATGAATAAAGTCAGGCTTAAGGTCACATGTCTCTCATGTAGTATATGAATTATCTGAAATTACTAATCAGGCTCTTCATCTCAATTCCAGAACAAATTATTAGTCTTTACAGTTCTTAATTATATATGCCCTAAATGATTATAAAAACCATTTCAAATTAACAAAAATTTACCCTTGAAGCTAATTGAATGACCTTGCATAAAATTCAAGCTACCAGTGATCATCACATAAAGCCAAAATGGTTTGTTAAAAAAGGAAAAAAAAAGTGGCCAAAAGAGCTTGAAAAGGATTTCCAAAACAATCAAACCAACATTGAAGGATGATACTCCATCAGTTATATTCTATTGTCCAATTAAGTGGTACTACACTTAGACACCAATACTAAGGGAAAGAAAAATAATTGCTAAACTGACGAGTTAATCTATGGGCCGATGACCCTGCAGCTAGCTTATATATAAAATATAGAGACAACTCTGCAGCTAGCTTATATCTAAACTATAAAGAAAACTCAATAAGCTACATTGGCAAAAAATCAACAATAATATCAACAACAAAAAAAACATTAGCTCACAGACAAAAACAAAGGAACCTTGAAACGAATACACACCCACATGACCAACTTTCAACTTCTAACTTTTTACTTCAATTATATAAATGAATTGTTATATTCTTTCTTCCAACAGATAGTAAAGAAATTCAGATTTAATCCAGAAGTATCAAGCAACCATTCAAGACTTGGAAAATAATCAATCTCAAAGCATTAAAACATAAAAAAATGAATTAACTACAGGGTACGTGTGCAAGTGAAACATCTCAAATTTGACACAGAACCCACATCAAATGCAAAACAAGGCATTCATATCAGACACAAAACTCTACTCAAATTTGACATAGAACCCACAATAACCACTTGAAAAAGAAAAGTCATTGTATTCAGAAAACTTGGACTGTTGAATGTTCAAGCATTTAAGATATCAAAAAGGAAAAAACAAGCACTGAAATTCAGTTTCGATTTAAATTCCTGGGTATCTATTTCCGATTTTCCTTGATTATTTTCTCAGCAACCAAATGGAATCTACAACTGAAAATCAGCGCTCAAAAGAAAATAAAGGTAAGCGAGACAAGGTAGACTCACTAGAAGCATTCCGTTGAAACACGCAGTGAGGAGGACTTCCGAGATGGAGTTTTTAGATGGCCCACGCTTCAACTGTGGCCAATAAAATCTCTCCTCCAATCCTGCTATTGTTTTATCGCGGCCTAAGTGGCCACTCAACCCTCCTCCGTGCAAATGCCAAATGAGCTTCTCCCTTCAGGAGGAAACAGGAATGCATAACTGGTTGCCCTTGAACAAATACCCTTCATTTAGAAAGTAATCTACCTATGGCTCATGATTAGCACATTTAGCCCATATTTACTTGAAATCATCATCATCTTCATATAAATCATTTAGACACTCGAATCCCACCATTTCTTGAGTAAGAGTAACTAACAAAGAAGCCCTTCTACTCAGCGCATCAGCCACATGATTTGTGGTGCCAGAAGTATGCTTGATAACGAATGAAAATTTCTGCAAAAAAGTTACCCATCTAGCATGCATTTTATCAATATGTTTCTGGCTGTTAATATACTTCAAAGCTTGATGATCTGTAAACAAAACAAATTCCTTCTTAATAAGATAGTGCTCCCATTGTTTCAGAGCTCGAATAACTGCATAAAATTCTTGGTCATAAGTACTCCACTTTTGACGAGCGTCGCTCAATTCTTCAAAAAAGAAAGCAATTGGTCTCTTATCTTGAGAAAGCACGGCACCCACTCCCACGCCACTGGCATCACATTCAACTTCGAACACCTTCTCAAAATTTGGAAGAGCTAGAACCGGAGCGATGCAAAGTTTTTCTTTCACAAGAGCAAAACTTTTTTCTTGCTCTTCTCCCCAATTGAACCTGCCCTTCTTCAAACATTCAGTAATAGGTGCAATAATGGAACTGAAATGCCTCACAAACCTCCTGTAAAAAGTGGCCAAACCATGGAAACTTCGAACTTCAGAGACTGTTTTTGGAGTTGGCCAATCAAGAATTGCTTTGATCTTCTCGTCATCCACCTGGATACCATGTCACCAACCACAAAACCCAAAAACAGTAGCTTATTTGTACAAAAAGTACATTTTTTCAAATTCACATATAGCTTATTTTCCTTCAAAACTCCTAAGACTTGTCTGAAATGCACGAGATGCTCTTCTTTTGTGGTGCTATAAATTAAAATATCATCAAAATAAACCACGACAAAAGAGCCAATAAATGGTCGAAGAACCTGATTCATAAGTCTCATGAAGGTGCTAGGCACATTTGACAATCCGAACGGCATCACCAACCATTCGTATAACCCTTCCTTGCTCTTAAACGCTGTTTTCCACTCGTTGCCTGGCCTGATGCGAATCTGGTGGTATCCGCTGCGCAAATCTATTTCGGAAAACACCTTAGAGCCTTCGAGCACATCCAACATATCTTCCAATCGCGGAATGGGAAATCTATATTTTATTGTAATCTTGTTGATTGCTCGACTATCAACACACATACGCCAAGACTGATCTTTCTTTGGGACAAGAAGGACTGGAACTACACAAGGACTTAAGCTCTCCCTGATAAAACCCTTCTGTAACAACTCTTCAATCTGCTCTCTTAAGATGTCGTTCTCCTTAGGGCTCATTCGATAATGTGGCAGATTTGGTAGACTAGCCCCAGGTACCAAATCAATGTGGTGTTGTATATCTCTTAACAGCGGCAACTCGTTTGGCAGCTTGTCAAAAATTAGTTCCTGAAATTTTGACAAAATCTGTTGCACTTCAGGAAGAATTACATTTTCTTCTTTGCTGGCCTTCAATAGCCCCTTCAACACCATGGGACAAAAACAATCTGCTTCTTTTATTGCCTCATTTAACTCTTGCTCACTGCTGATCACAGTTAGAAAACTAGAACTCTTAGTTTTGGGCTCAACTAATTTTTTTGAGGGCACTGTAGTAGCCATCGCAATCTTGTGGTTGTTCCAGGAAAACAAGATCACATTATCTCGACCCATAAAGGTTGCATCCACATCAAATTGCCAAGGTCGCCCCAATAAGATATGACATGCATCCATATCAATAACATCACATACGACATCATCTATGTAATGCTTACCAATGGAGAGTGGCACACGGCAAGTCTCAGCAACACGAACTGAAGGTCCTTTTTTAACCCAACCTAGTGAATAAGATGTGGCTCTGTTGGTAGCTGCAAACGCTCCACCAATTTTTTTGACACAAAATTCTCGCAACTCCCATTGTCTACGATCACATCACAGATTTTATTTTTGATTGAACAAAGAGAACGGAAAATGCTGTGTCGCTATCCTTCCTCTTTTGGTGCCAAAAGAACTCGTTGTAAAACCAAAGTAAGCCTTTCCATTCCCTCCTCAATTGCAAACTCAGCACCTGCATAATCATCGTCTACAAATTCATCATTTTCTTCGTCATCACCATAAAAAAAATCTCTAACCTTAAACACTACCTATTTCCACTACATTATATACTTAGCCTATAATCCTAGCCCACCTCGCCATCTATCACCATGCCGAATGTTGATGCCTTTATTTCTTCACTTGCTTATGGTTCTACTTCACGTACTTCTTCTCCTACCCCTATTGTGATGGTTCATACTAAATCGTCCACCAATCCATTCTTAGGATTCAAATTGAATGGATCCAACTACGCAATTTGGGCTTCGATGATCGAACTCTATGCTATTTCACAAGGAAAATTGGGTTACTTAACTCATGAGTATGATGCCCCAGATTCCAAAGATCCTCAATTTGGAAAGTGGAAAATTGATTATGCTACCGTGAAAAGTTGGATGATGCGCACTATGGAACCTAGTTTGTTGAATACATTTCATACTTACCTACTACTGTGTTCACGGGGTTTCTGTGTTTTGCCTAATCTAATGCCATGCTCATAAGGTTTCTGTGTTCTGCCTTACCTACTACCATGCTGACAAGGTTTCTGTGTTCTGCTTTTATGTGCCTTATTTGTTAGGGTTTGTCAGTTGTTTCACTCGTGGTTTATGACAAGGCCTCCTCTACAGTTGTTCGATTGGTCAATGTCGAGCATGGTGTTCTATGACTCACTTGTCAAGTTTGGCATGCAGAATATCTTTGCCCTAACTTGAGGAGGAGTGTTGGCAAGTCTTTACTTGGTTAGGATTGTGGTTACTTACTCATTTTTCTAGTCCTATTATAATTGAGATTTATTTCCTATTGTAATTTATATTTATTTTCTATAGTAATTTGGATTTATTTCCTATTTTATTTAGGTTTGTACTTCTTTATAAATACCTCCATATTGGAGAAGAATAAAGATATGAGCACAACTTAATATTTTCCCTAATTTGTTTGACTTCATATATATATATATATATATTTGTGAGGCCTGGGGCGAGACCAAAGAAAAGATCTTGTATATACAATAATATTTGTTTGTGTGTGTATATAACAAAGAAAAGGCCCTGTACATACAACAAAAATTATGTGTGTAAATATTGATGCGTAAGAACACGAATATATATTTTTATTTTTTTATTTTTTATTTTTTTAGCGATAATCTATACATTTTATACAAATTTAGGGGGGTGTATTCAATTAAGATTTTAAAAGAGTTGAATGGAGTTATAAAGTTTATAGAGTTCAATGTAGTTCAATTGATTTCTATCAACTCCACATAGAGTTTGATTGAATTCCTAGATTGATTTTGATGGTGTTTGTTAGAGTTTTATCGTAGATTTTAAAAGAGTTTATTAGAGTTCTAAATATATTTTTTATTATTTTTTATTTTTTATTTGGTTTGTTTATCGTTTTTCTAGATTTTCAAAAGAGAAAAGTACCTTTACAACCAAATAAGAAAAGGGCATCCAAAGAAAATAAAAAAAGAAGGGCATCTAATTTGCTCAAATGTGCAACCAAATAAGGATTTATGTCTGCATGTTTATGAAAAATGCGCAAAAGTAAAAACATAAAAGTAATTTCAATACAAAAAAAATGATAAGTAAACTATAATTCTAAATGCATAAAAACGAATAAGTATCTGCTCCATTGCTCATCTTTGACTCCCGTCATTCATAGCATCTCTAATAGCATATTGCTCTCTTTCGAGGTCCATGGGTTATAAGGTGTTTTTCCTTTTCCCCCATTTATAATGTTACTAGATAATACATGCAATCTTTAATTAGTTCATAAGAAAAAATACATATATGAAGATAATTTTTTTCCTTTTTGTTTTGGCATGGACTAGATATATATATATTATACATTGATAAAGAAGAGAAACACTGAACAAAAAAAAGGCTGATTGGAGATGAAGAAGGCTATTGATATTTGAGGAACAGCAACCAAAGAAAAAGGATGATGTAGAAAAAGTACAGAAACAAAAAAAAACAGCAACCAAAAAACTATTCAA